AAAAAGAAGTTACAGGTCTGTGACAGCTAGAAATCTTGCTTGTTTGTAGGTGACCAAATACTTATTTTCCACCATTATTTGCAAAAAAATTATTTAAAAGTCAGACAAAATGATTTTCTCAATTTTTTTTTCACATTTTGTCTCTCATAGTTGAGGTCTACCTATGATGCCAATTACAGGCCTCTCTCATCTTTTTAAGTGGGAGAACTTGCACAATTGGTGACTGACTAAATACTTATTTTCCCCACTGTAGTTGTAAACTCCTCCTATCAAACTAGAATGGACCACTCTGGAAGCTGGAGGGGGTTGGAGTGTGAAGCACCTCCTTTGGATTTAAAGAGACAGCATGAAAACGAGTTGATCTGAGACACACCTCAGAACAGGGGTGAAAGAGGGGCTTGTGGAGTTACGATGAGGAATTCAGACCAAAGCATTCCTCTCTATATAGACCTCAACTGAAAGATTTAAATATAATCATATGTTTATTTTAAAGTGCCTTGCAACATCAGTGTGACTGTTATTATATAGACGACTTCAGGTTTCTAATTGTGTATTTTGACGATTAGCCTACATCACAAGTCTTTTATGAGATATTTGGTTTATTCTACATAAATTACACTCCATCTATTGATAGAAACGAGCAGTCAGAACCACGATTGTAGGCATGAATTGGATGATTGACTATCTCTTTGTGTCTCCCCTTATTTTGGACATAACTGAGCCTCTGTCAGGGTAATGTGTAACAATGTGTGCCATGTACTGGAGCACAACTGTGAGGGCACAAGTGCACTCTGTAATGCTCATCGGTCTGACAGAGCGAGCTGCCGTATGTCTTTGTCTCTGCTTTTGGTGGCTTGTCAGCATCTGATAGGACTGAATCTGCGGGACAGGGCAGGTCAGACGGTAATGGATCCGGTGCTCCTTTTAAAGACCATACTCTTAGGGGGAGGGATATTTCTGAGTAGTTGTGAAATTTTGACCAAAACTCTATACTGAATGTTCTCTTACGTAATTTTTATAGCTTTGTCATCTTCTTAGCTGGTGATGTATCACTGCATCATTTTTTTCTCCTTGTCATTTTTTGTAGAAAATCTCTTGTGGTTTTAAATAATCTGCCAATTTTTTTTCTTTATTTTGTGCGCTCAACATTAAACACTTGCTCTTTACTCCTATAATTTTCCAGTTTGCTTTTCTTTTTTTTTCTTTTTGTTTGTTTAGACTGAAATTTGGATAATCGTGTGTTTTGAAATCTTCCTGGAGTCAACATCTTGATCACGTGACCACTCTCTAATCCAGCATGTTTTGTCTGGGGCCCATTTTAGTCAGGCTCTGTACCTTGCAGTTGATTCAAGGTCAGCTTTGTCTGCTGCTGCACTTAATGATGGGTGCACTATCATAACAAAAGAAAAGATAATGTGCAGGGTAACACTTCTGTAGCAAAGTTTTGTTGTTTCATAGTAACAGTACAAAAGTAAACTAGATATAGGTTGACTTGACCATTTGTTCATCAGAATTGTGATGTTTTAAAACAGTGAAGTCTTTTAAACTAGCGCCAGTGTTATTAACAAACAGATGTTTATGCTGATGATGAAATGGTTCAAATAGTTGTCCATCTTTTATCAGACAGCAGTGTCTTAAAGATTTATTTTATTTCCGATTCATACCAGCAAATGTGAAAAACAAATTAAGAATGTTTTACTGCAAGTTTTATTGCTGATATTTTAACACGTCTAAATTCCTACTTTGCTTTTTTAGCCTACTTGTAAACTTGAATTGGGGAGGGGGGGGAGTATTGTGTATTTTCTAGGCACATAGTTCAATTCTATACCACAATCAAGTAACTATGTTGCCTTCAGTTGTTGTTATAAAAATGCTTTATATAAAAAAATTAATTTGGCTTTGCAACATAACCTTTAAAACGCCTTGAAATTGGCTTTGGCTCTTTAAGAATCTCCTGTTTCTGACACTCCCACTTCAGCAAGTCTTTACAACAATGCTTTGGGGGATGGGTGCTCTGTGAACTCCAGGGAGGTGCTATGTGTAAATGGGCGGTGCTTTGTACCAAAACGCATTTAGGCAGCTCCACATGGTTACCACAGGAGATTCAAGGATTTCTCAAACATGCATGAATAAGTCAAAGCAACACTTTGGGTATATTTTTGTTGAGTTATTGACATTACAATATGATATAAAGCTAAAAAGGTCAGTTTTGCAAAACTCTTCCCTTTAAAGTTAAATCTTTTTGTATGTACAGTGATTACATCGTTCTAACCACTTCGATCACAAATGACCCAAACCTATGTTGAGTCATTAAACTGCAGCTTTGAAATATTCTTCCACAACCAATTACATGCATGTTTGCATACATCAATATAATTAAAACGTTTTTTATCATAGTGCTGATTTCTCAAACACTTGTTAAAATTGTGATTCATCACTATTTTTGATGTTCAACATCAGTTTGGATCCCTGGATTGAAAAGACACCTAACCTTTTTCTCTCCAATAAATCCACTGGAGCCAGGGTGAGTTATGATGGAGGATAAACTCTCACTGCCTAGCTAAAAAAACAACCTTTATTATTATTATTATTATTATTGTTTTTTTTACCTGTACCTGTGGTCTTGATTTGTTTTGGACCTATTCAGGTGATTTATATTTTGTTTTCCGTCCTCAGGGAATGTCTGAGGAGGCTGTCCGCCAGACACGCAGCCAAAAGAGGGCTCTGGAGAGGGAGGCTGCTCCACAATCCGTGGAACTTTCCAACGCTGACAATGACAGCAAAAAACCCAAGCTGGACCCATCCGAACCTCCAGCAGGGGCACAAACTAAATCTAAGCCGGACCTTTTGCCGGCGCAGGACATTGAGCTCCGGACTAGACCTGGTTCTGATCACGAGCAGGAGCCGGAGCAGGACAGGTTGCCGTTATCTTTAGTGTCACCCTTGGCTTCACAGCTGATGAAGGATGATCAGGATCGAACACAGAGACAGCAGACAGCTGAACCCGGCTCAGACAATCGAACTGACTGCAATGACAAAGCCAGTCGGGCCAAGACGGAGCCGGCCATGGACACACGGAGCCGGGTCCGGCAGACGGAGGCGAAGGTGTCGAGCGGCATGCTGGCTGCGGGCGAGGTGAAGGCCACTATTAAAGTAGAAGTTCAGACGGAGCAGCCAGTGGACATGAGCACCTCCAGGGGGTGAGAAACTGAACACAAAACTGTCTTATTGACGTTTTTTTTGTAGTTGTGATTTTTCTAATTTAAAGAAAGAGAAAGTGTTTAGAAGCTGCAAAGTTTGTTAAAATGAATATTACCAGTCCAGTGTTTTTAGTTTGCTTTAGCTAAGTAGAAAATATCACGTGTGAAGAAGTTCTGATGTGGTAAAAATTTAGCCATCAAAACTGAGCACGAGTGATCAGCTGTTTGAGCTTCACAAGTTGTTTTCCTGTTGTCTACTTGTGTCGACTTTATTTTCTAAATGATCGCTTATAATTTATAGAAAGATACACAGAACTTTATTTGAATATTAAAAGATGCGAAAATGTTACTTTTGTAAATCTGAATGTGACTGAAACCTCTTTGTGTGTGTGTGTGTGTGTGTGTGTGTGTGTGTGTGTGTGTGTGTGTGTGTGTGTGTGTGTGTGTGTGGGAGGGGTGGAGGAGTATGTGTGGGGTGCATCTTTTACTCCACCTCCATTTTGCCTCCACTCTCCACCTGAACCCTAAAAACTCCCCTCGCACAAAATGAAGCCGTGTGTCACAAACTGGTTCCAGCCGGTTGTTGCCATGGTTTCCACAGTGGAAAGGAACAGTGGGGGGGAGTAAGTGTGTCACGTGACGATGACTTTGAGGTCATGTGACTTCTTTGGAAGAGTAGTGATTAATCCACAGGAAGTGATGATGGCACTAAGCCCTGAGGAGAGATTAATACACACACAGACACAGAAATAAGGAGGACGGCTGGTGGAGACGGGCCTCATAATGTCATGTGTTAACTTCATAAATGTTTACGCCTCATAGGAATGCATATTCTCATGAGTCATTAATCCAGCCTTTTTGTTAGAGGAACGTTACTCGTGCTTCAGTTTTTTTTTTTAGCAGATAAAAACATTTGGTTACCTTCTCTAACACGTGTCCTGCAGCTGAAAATGTTACTTTGCAGCAGACAGAAAACTGTCAGGAGGAGATTTGGGTAAAATATGCAGAAGAATGTGATCACTGTGGGTGGATTCAGACTGCCTTCAGGATTACTGGTTTCTTTCATTTTTTTAGCGTGCTTTTACGTGACGTATTTAACCAGCTCAGGCCACTCCCAGAGGCCTCGGACGCTTGTTTTCACCCTGCAGCAGCGTCTTGTTTCAAAGGAAATGGGCTCTTTTAAACAGCGATTTGATTGTGACTTAGAAGACATTTGCTCCTTGCCCCCTTCTTGGCATTTAAGTCCATTCATCTGCTGTCGAACAGAATCGGCGTGAAGAGAGAAGTTCTGCCTTGCATGTGCCTGGACTTGTCAGATTATAGTGGAGCAGATAAACCTGCGGTCATAAATTATAATTGTGGATAAGAAGCAGACCTCTATGAAAACAGTCATTAGAAGCCAGTATTTGAATAATTCTGAGCAGTAGTTTGGTTCATGTAGAAATAAATGTTTTAACCTACTCATGAGTACTTGATCTGTCAGCACATACTTCAAGTCCTGAAAGACTAAACTTGAAAGCTTCTTGGCAAACTTTGGGCGTTTTGAATGTCACATATGTTGAATTTTATGAGATTAAGTGCAAAAATCACCATCCAGTTTCAGGCTCTTTGCATGCAGTATCGGCTCCTGCTTCAGGCACTAGAAATATAAAGCTAAAATGTGTTGTCTCTTTTCCAGCAGCATCAAAAAGGAGAAGCGCCCTCCATCTCCTGAAGATGATGACGTCATCATCTTGTCTGATAACGACTCCCCCAGTCCTCCGATGAACGGCCTGAGCCACTTTAAAGAGCTGGACACAGACCTTCTAATGGTTAGACTGAAACTATGAAGTCATTTTGTCATCGTTGTAGATTTTTGTCCCTGAATTATTATTTTTTTGTCATTCATTAAAATTAAATATTAAAGTGAAAGTGATTTTTTTTTTTTTTTTTTGTGTGTGTGCAGAAGAGCAGTCCAGCGGAAAGGAAGCATATCATTAAGCAGCTGAAGGAGGAGCTGAGACTGGAGGAGGCCAAGCTGGTGCTGCTGAAGAAACTTCGACAGAGCCAAATACAGAGGGACAACTTGCAGAAGGTAAATAGTAAACCTTAGTCACACCTCTATGAGTCTGGGATTTGACCACAAAGCCGCCTTTGGTCACAAACACCAATCAAGTTGGCCAAGACAGTGTGGTGCTCATAAAACCAGCATCCCAGAATCAGTGGAGTTACTGAAGCATGTTTAGTTAGAATTGAGCGGTTCACATGCCGCCCCCACTTTACACCTACTCACCAACTCCGCTTTATGACTACCTCTGTTGCTGGCCCAGAGGCACAACAGCGGTAACTTCCGCCTTGGTCATTTCACATGTTGCACTGTTGAGGGAAGATGCACCTCAGGCCCAACTAGGTTTCTTTTTGTTTATCTTCTCACATCACATTGTTTATTTTTGATGACCAGAAATGCTTGTAAGTAGCTCAGTTTAAAAAAACCAAACAAACATTGACATTAGATAATCCATAATACAGTATTGTTTAGGCTGATTGTGCACCTTCTGATTTTCTGATGTAACAGGAAGAGCAGCAGTGCAGAGTATACATACTGGGTAGTTGGTACAAGCTTCTATTGCACTAAATAAATCTTGTGTTACAAAAACTTTGAAAAGTAAAACGGCTGAGAGGTCATTTATGTTTTTATGTGGAGAATGTACTTCCTGTAAAACTTCTTCTGCTGTTAGGTGGTATTATCCTAAATGTAGCGACACCTGCTGTTTAGGAGAAGCACTGCAGCCTATCAGTCACCGACATAAACCCATTCTTGTCAGCTGGCTGCCACATTGTCAAATAACTGACTTAAACTACACGAACTAAGAAAATATAAAAATGAATGTACAACAGGAGGGTAAGAAGTAGGGTTGGGCAATATTGGCAAAAAAAATAGCGATTAATTGTGGTATTTAGCCGATAAGATTAATTTGACATTTAATCCCCTGGAGTCCCTGGACACCCTTATTTTGTGGTCACATGACCAATTTAGTGGGAAAGATTTTCTTTTTAATAAAAAATTGTTTCAAATTGTGTGAAAATTACAGATTTCAGGCTATACATCATATTTTAAATTGTGTTGATACATAAATAAATTACAGAACTTTTTTTTAAATGTTCATCATATTTGAAGCGGAGAAGAGCACCGAGCAGACTGACCGGAGTAATCCCCAGTCAGTCTGCCTGGTGGCGTTAATCGTATTAATCGTCAAGTGCCAAAAAGTAATCGATTAATGTTTTTCTGACGATTAATTGCACACGATACGATTATGCCCAACCCCAGTAAGAAGTTAATAAATTAACACAAAAATGTCATTTTTCAGACAAATGTCCTACATAAATTAAGTCCCGCCCCTTCACATGCAGGGGCAGGACTTAAACGTTGTACTGCAGCCAGCCAGTAGGGGGTGCTCATCCTTTGTAGTTGTCAACGTCTAACCTCTGCCCTTGTGTCAAGTTATAGTTAGTATATGTTGATGGATAAACCACGACTCTGCCATGTTGATGTCACAACTTGCTCATGTCTAGACCATTGTGCAAGAAGAGTATTTTGGGATTTAGTGTTGTTCAGCCAACTTCCTGCGAGTAATTGTGTAAGTGGACAGAAACTGTACATCAGGTGAGGTGAGCTTTCAAGAAGCAGCCCAGCGACTTACAGAGCCAGATAAACTCAGTGTGTGAACTGCCGACGAGAGCAGAATGGTCAAAATGTTGGCTTGCTATTCAAGTCTATGGTTAGGGTTGTGCTTTGAGCAGCGTGTGTTTACCTGAGGTTGAGTTCAGTGGTCATGTTTGTTATTTAATCATTTTCTTTTGTTTTTTAGCCTTCAGGTTTGTCCGGTTCCTCTGCCCCGCCACCTCTAATTCGAGGAACTAGTGCAAGCAATAAAAGCTCTCCACAGGTTAGTACTGTGTTGTCTTAAACGCATTCATGCAGGTTCTTGGTGCAGAAACATATTGAATGCAACATACGTTTTTTTTTCCCCCTCTGGTCAGATTCTGACAGGAAGAAGTTCAGGCACGGTTATTCCACCACCACTGGTTCGAGGAGGCCAGCAGGCTTCTTCTAAACATGGCTCCCAGATCATTATGCCACCTCTGGTTAGGGGGGCCCAGGTGAGTCATGGAAGCAAAGTTAGTAAAACTTTTATCTATCGTTTTTTTAGTTTATTTGTTTTTTTTATAAAAAAATCTTTTACTGTTGGTTTTTAAGTCTCAAAAAAAACAACAATTACAAAATAATGATTACAAAATGGGACTTATTATCTCTTTTTGCACCTCTGTCTGTGTGTGTGCTCTTTGCTTTGGTGCTTTTGATGTCCCTCCCCCTCTCGTCCTCCACTTCCTTTGTCTGTGATGCGACTCCGTGTCATCCCTCTCATTGTCGTGGTTAGCCCATCTCTGTATCTCCACAGCAGATCCAGGCCCTCCGCCAACAGCAACAGCAGCAGCAGTTGGCTGCAACGGGAGGTTCAGGATCAGGACCTCCTCCTCTGCTGTTGGGCCCCAGGACCTCGGCCCCCGCAGCCCAGAGAGGCCTGGTCCAATCAGGCCTCATCAGAATCGGCAGTAGTGCAAACACACTGGTTGGTTTCTGTTCCTAAAAGGATAAAAAAACAATAAAATGTATTTTTTTAACTTAAGATCACTCAGAATTTATACATTACAGACTTTTGAAATGCGTGAAAACGTTTTTTTCTAACCATAAAATAATGAGTGTGCAGAACTGTTGATGAAGCTACAGAAGTAATGAGTGAATTCTATTCTTGTTCAACTATGGAACACAAAGTTTTGTAGGTTTTGATCTTAGTTTAAAAGAGAAAATGAAAATTCACATTAGAATATCAAGCTGTGGTGTAAATGTGTTAGATTTTGCAACACATGCTAATTTGTGTCTGCAGTTCCTGCTGGGTTCAAGGTGTTTAAAGAAATTACAAAACACATAAACTTCCAAAATCGTGCAAAAACAAAGAAAAAAAGTGCATGATTAAATGTTTTTCTTTTAAACATAACATGTTTGTAGTTCAGCACCAGTATCTGCATTGTCTGAAGCATTCAGAGATCCTCTGGATGAGTTAATGACTCGTGTCTCTGCTTCTTTTCCAAGGTGTCACCGAGCGGGTTGAAGGGCTCCTCCTCAGGAAGCAGCAACGTGTCGGTGGTGAGCGTTAACGACTCTCCTGCCAGCCGCCAAGCAGCAGCTAAACTCGCCCTGCGAAAGCAACTGGAGAAGACTCTCCTGGAGATCCCCCCACCCAAGCCACCTGCGCCAGAGTTCAACTTCCTGCCCTCAGCAGCCAATAATGAGTTCATCTACCTGGTGGGGCTGGAGGAAGTGGTCCAGAACCTGCTTGATACCATCCATAGAAGTATCCTATTTGTTTTTTTTTACWAATTCTTTATAGACAATTCTCATTCTTCTTATAATTTTTTTATTTTTACTTTTCCTAATGCAATCTTTTCATATCCCTTCTTATCAAGGTAAGACAGGTTTACATCTGTCAAAGGCCATCCTCCGAGACCCTTTCATCTGCACCCAATGCAATACTGACTTCACCTGTCGTTGGAGGCAGGACAAGGCTAAAGGCGGGGCCGTGCTCTGCGAAGACTGCATGTCCTCCAATCAGAAAAAGGCTTTAAAAGCGGAGCATACCAATAGGCTGAAAGCTGCGTTTGTCAAAGCGCTGCAGCAAGAGCAAGAAATAGAGCAGCGCATTATCCAGCAGGCATCCTCSCCAGTTTCTCACAGTACCTCGTCATCCTCTTCATCTGCCACTTCGTCGCTGAAGGCAGAGCAGCTGGTGTCTCAGCAGCTAAAACAGGCCAGAGTGTCGTCCCTCCAGCACCACCACCAGGCCAGCCGAGGAGCCAGCATCATCCATCATCACTCCATCAAGGTTGGAAAGACGTCTTCCCCTAGTTGTCAGGAGAAACCGTTTGTTTGCGTTGCGGATGGGAAGTGCTGATTTTTGTCACTGAACTCCCCCACAGAGCTCGCAGGGCCACCTGTCCCACGGCGTCTCGTCGGTGGGGCTGCGAGGTGTCCCCCACTCCTTCTCGTCCTCCTCCCAGCTGCAGAGCGCAGTGGCGGCCGCGGCTCTGGTCAGCCGGCCAGGTAAGCATGCCCATGTTTCCCACCGCTCTGTGCAGAGTGCAAAGGTGAGCAGCACTGGGATCAGCGGCGGCAAGAGTGTCAGCGGAGGCAGTGCCTCATCCACTGCATGGAAGAAGCAGAGCAACAGCAACGCAGGTAGACTCATTAAGAGCAGTCCAACTCTGGCGCCTGACATCTCCTCTCTGTCAATTCCTGTCTGGTCCCAAAGCAATCCTTAAATAATTTGAAAATCCTTATTATTATTTTTTTAATGATCTGCTAATTTTTAAAGAGGACGTTGAAGGAAATGTTTTTGGACAAGGCAACCCTTCTCTCCAGTTTGTTTCCTGGACTTGATCCTTATTTTCCCACTTTAGTTCCTCGGTTTGGTGTTCTCACCTTCTTCCCAGGTGTTTCTAAGTATGTTAGAGAATTAACTCTGTTCATTTCCTTTGTGTGTGTGTGTGTGTGTGTGTGTGTGTGTTACATTCAGCTATATTACACATATTGTTTTCCTCTCCACGCAGTAAGCTTTAATGCAAAAAGCGGCTTGCTGCCCAGCCTGATCGGCGGCTCTGTTGCGTGTTTTCAGGTGTGACCATGGCCTACGTGAACCCCAGCCTGACAGGCCACAAGACCTCAGCGACCGTGGACGCCCGTCAGAGGGAGTACCTGCTGGACATGATCCCCTCTCGGTCTTCGATTTCGCAGACGGCAAACACGTGGAAATGATGTGGTTCCAAGGCACTCCTCCATTCAGATGTCATGTCCAAGGTTCCTCAGCTCCAATAATAAGGTCCACAGCACCCCCTGCAGGACTGTTAGGCAGTTACAATCCTTAAAAGTGAAGAAACGTTCCTTAAACACCTTTTTGTATAATTTTATGTTTTAGTTTTCATTTATTTTTATTTTTTTTAAGTTCACTGTTTTGGTAATTATGCAGAAACTGTTTTGATTTGACTGGGATAAAAGAAAAGAAAAAAACTACTTGAAGGGCTTCCTCTGAGCTCTGTCCTCCAGACTGAGTCATTAAATTGTGTGATAAGAGGCTACGTCTGCTGTGAGTACCATGATTATAAATGAGTACTCTGTTTTAGGCTTTTAGCCTTTTCTGCCATTATATGGGTCAGATGGACCCAAGATTTTGACACTTGAATGATTGTCATACCCCAAGAGTTCATGTTAAACAAAAACATTTATTTTAGGTAGAAAGTGAAAAAATAAATATTCAAGTTGTAAAAATTTCCATTACATCACCTGTGTAGTTAAAGGTTTGACTTTATTTTGCATTTACAGTAAGTTATTTTGTTTTGAACTGGTGTTTAAATCACTCAGTATAATGTGGTTTCCACCGATGAAGAGTTAATTCTCACTTCCTATTTTTTTTCTGTTTTCCCATTTAACAGCATGCCTACCCTCACATCTGTTTTGCACCTTAGCTTGAAAAAGCTCGGTGTCATTGCTTATTTCATCTGTAATTACCATCTGTAATTTGCTTATTTTATAATAATGTCGACATTGTAAGATTATTTTAGTTGTTACGTCATTACAGAGAATTTGCAAACTCTGAAAGGAGCTATTTTCGCCACACTGGAGCCAGAGATTTTGCCTCAGATGTTTATCAGTAATCCGGGATAAACGCTGACACAAGCCGGTTTCCTAAAAAATAAAACTTAACAGCATCAACAACGACACAAGAACAACTTGAATTCCTCACCATGTTGCATCATTTCTCTGCTTTCCATTAATCTTAATTACATTGTTCAAAGTTATGTTAAAACTTTGGTTTACTTTTTTCCTAGCTCCTAAAGAAATAATAAAAATATATAAATTTTAAATGTCTACTTTCATTTGTTCATGGGTTTTCTGCTTTTTATTTTGGAACAATATATATAAACGATAATCATAAAACAATCATAGCAAATGCTGACCTTTAAATGAAACCTTCTTTAAAAAATACACTTTGCCTATATAAATAAATAAAAGATAAAAGGAAAAAACCTTAAGTACAACTCATGAGGATAAAAGTGATACTTGAGTAAAAGTACAAGTATATTACCAAAATATTACTTTGGTAAAAGTTAAAGTCTCCTTTAGGAATATTACTTCAGTAAAAGTCGATGTATCTGATACTTTTTGTACTTAAAAATTAAAAGTAAAAGTATTGATTCAAAACGAACAGTTAGATTTTCTGTAATGACATTTGTTAGGAGGTGACCTCCCCCCAAAAATGCAGAAACGACTGTTGTATTAAAATAATTTGTTAAATTTAGGATGCACTAGTCTAACTGTTTCAGTTTATATACATATACAGTACAAGACTGCCCAAACCTTTTCCCCAAAATGAAAATCTGAGAGCTGCAGCCAAATGCAATAATATAAATCATGAAATACAAATACTTCTTAAGTACAGTCCTTGTATTTTAATGATTATGTCCTGCTGGAGTGTGACATGATTTGTTCGTGTACAAACTAATACGGTATCAGAATTTTATATATTTATACTTCGCATTCAACAAAAAATTCACTCTTATCTAGGAGGCACAATTTATATGGATAGTATTTATTTTTTACAATAACAAGCTGGAATAAAAACAAGCAAAATGAAATAAAAGTAACAACTTTCTACTTCTTGTCTTTTTTTAAATGTAAGGAGTAAAAAGTACAGATAATTGTGTGAAAATGTAAGAAGTAGAAGTAAAAAGTAGGCTGAAAAATAATTACTCAAGTAAAGTACAGATACCCAAAAATTCTACTTAAGTACAGTAAAGTAGTGTTTGTACTTAGTTACATTACAACTCTGGAATCAACACAATCCTAAACAAGCCAAAAACTGTTAACTATCATAATTCCCATTTTGAAAAAAATAAATAAATAAAATAAAAATTGTTGGATAAGTTGTGAAATCAAATGTTTTTTTAATTGGAGTGCAGGCCCTAACTCTGCCTCTCTGATGATATGGGTATGCATTAGTGCTTTTGTTCATTTACACATCTGGAAATGCACCATCAAAGAATGCAATTGTATACTAACTTTAAAGCAACGTGCTCACATCCAGATGATGCATTTCTTTTGGGCAGACCATGCATTTTTCAACTAGACAATGCTCAGATTCATAGTACAGTTAATAAAAAGCATCATGTACTGAGTGCAAATGAGTAGTTGGCACAATACATTCAGTACAGAACTTAAATTGGTAATGGGTTTTAACAGATCATCCGTTAAAATACATTATCTAATTACGTTTTCTAAATTAATTTGATGATGTGCTTAAAGGAAACTTTTGGTTTTCGTGCTAACTCCTGAGCACACACATCTTTTATTTTCACACAAGTGCATTAAACTAGGTAGGTCACATGACGTGACGTACAATAAACCAATAGAAAAACAGAAATAAATGACAAGTGAGAGCACCAAAAGAAACGATGTCAACAATTGTATTACCTGATCTGTACACGTGGAGGCGCTCTACGGCGTCACAACATCCACCAGGATCCGAAGAAGAAGTCGCTCTTGAATGACGTCAGAGGCCTGTGAGCCCGCAGAAATGAAAGATGTCGGCGTCCAAGGTGAAGCAGGATATGCCTCCTCCGGGAGGCTATGCTCCCTTCGATTACAAGAGAAATGTGCCGAAGCGCGGAATTTCGGGTACATACACCACACCACAACACACACACAGACACACACATACATTTACAAACAGCCGAGGTGAACTGTGGGCGTTTGACTTGTCATTTATTTCAGACTAAAAACAGCGGCTTATCATGCTAAGTGGTGGCTGGAGTGACCTTTAACTTATACAAAATTAAAAATTGTTTTAGGCTTTTACACATAAGAGTCGTCGTTAAATAAATAATAGCCGAGTCTTATATAACAAATGCACAGTTAACGTTAGTAAAATACTGAAGTGAATTGTTGCTAACATCGATGGCTAATTGCTAACAACAGCTAATGTGTTTATTTACTATAGTGTACTACATATTATATTATAT